ATATATATATATATATATATATACACACACATACATACATATATACACACACACACACACACACACACATACACACATACATATATAAATGGTATTCAGCTTTGTTTTTTTCCCACGTCATTATAGTTGTGCTTTTAAAGTTGTAGCAACATTTCGGCAGAATCTGATCTGCCATCATCAGGCTTCTGTATTGTGTTCGTCTGTGAGCCAGACATTCACAGCCATTTTTGTTTTAAATTTGGTGCTAGCCTACGCTGGGCCAGAATGGTTTTTTCTTCATCCTGATTGGTCTGTGTCTGGTCTTTTCTTCATCCTGATTGGTCTGGTTTTTTCTTCATCACAGTCTTGGTCTGTGTTTATTAGTCTTGGAGTTTGCTGTGTTCTGTTCGACGAACACAATACAGAAGCCTGATGATGATCAGATTCTGCCGAAATGTTGCTACAACTTTAAAAGCACAACTATAATGACATGGGAAAATACCCGAACAAAGCTGAATACCATATATATATAAATACACACACACACACACACACACACACACACACACACACACACACACACATTCTTAGAGTATAATGGTATTGTGAAATTTATTGTGAAAAAACATGTGCATTATATAATCAGATTTATGATGCAAATAGTATATATTACTTTAACCATGTAGTTGCGATATTTGCATTTAAGTCTTCAGTATAAAGTGTCTCCTATGCTTTCCATTCAGTTTTCTAATCCATTGTGCAATTCCTCAGAAATTAAGCTAGTAATGTAGCAATTTAGTAACAAATCGCACACACAGTCCAGCATTAGTGGGAAAGCTTATTTAATAGGTTTTCTGACAGGAATCTTGTTTAAGAAAAGAGTATAGTCGATAAAGCTATGCAGACATAAAAAAGTGGAACTAATATTCTCAGAATAGTTGCTATTTAAATATCAGCAATGTGGGACATCTGCTAAACTTTGCAACCAAAACAGTTTCACTTTACTTCAAAAACTTTTTAATGTATTCCTTTAAACAATCTTTTGTGTTCTAGCTGTGAGAGCATCCCAAAGTCTTGTAATAAAATTTAAAATCATGTTACCTTTTAAATTCAGCAGCATAAGCCTAGCATAAGTTCTCATTTAATGTATATTTATATTAATATTATATCTCATTTAGTGTGCATTTATATTTGTATAAATGTGCATTTATATTATATTATGTGCATAAAGTATATCCATATGCATTAAATGTCTCTTAATACAAAAATGCATGTGTTTAATTTACATATCACACTTCAATGGTGGTATTCGACTGGTTCTGCCTGGTACTGGAGAGCCGGTAGGAGCGATGAGCAGCAGAGACTGAACTGGTTCTCTCGACTGCTCTAATGGCTCTGCTGTTGGGCCCAGCCACCCACCCAGGCTCCCATACTCACCTCTATCCACTGAATTTGAAGCGCACCTGCTTTGCGCAACACAGAATAGTGCCGCACAGCAGCTGTTGAAGTGATCGGGAGATCGTGCAAGCTTCCAGGAGGCGAGGTAGAATGCCTCTGCACCTGCGCAAACACCTCTGCACCTGTGCAAAGTGCGCATTTGGCATGCGCGTGCACGCAAAGTATATGCACACGCGCAAACTGCAGCCACAAACCACACCCACCGAACCAGTGGCAACAATATTTGAATCCCACCACTGTCACACTTCTTATATTATTAGTCACAAAGTCAAGGTACGTAAACTGTTAAACAACAAATGCTATGCAATGTTCATAAATGTGTTTACAGTAAGAACTTTATCTTTAAAAGTTGACACTGGGACCTGATTATTTAAACAAAAACAAAAACAAATCAAAGCCTTGTGCTTGAGCTGCCTTCTTTTCTATTAATATTTCTTTTTCCCATATTTGTTAAATGTCACACAAAAAGTCTGGCAAATATGTTTCAAAAAAGGCCCCAAAATATCACCAATAAGACATTTTCATTGTTGTCAATCATTTGGACATAGGAGCTAGATAACCTTTTAAAAAGTTGTTCCATGCCTGCTGATTATGACTCAATTTATGACTATTCTGCACTGAAATCTTTTAAAGATGTATTTTTTCTTTTAAAATTGATCTATAACCATGAAGGTGTTAAATCTGCTCTTTATTTTCTAGCGAATGTGAAATAGGCAGATGTCAGTCCATTATCATGTTATGTTCTTTAGAATGTCAAGAGAGACCAACAATCATAGACAATATGCTTTCTATGAAGTGAAATTATAGAGACACACTTTGCAAAAGAATTTACCAATCCTGTCATATTCTTACATCACAGGAGATGTCACTTAAATGCATTTTGTTATACTTATTTGTTAGCTTTAAAAGACTGAACAATAATTCCTGGATGTTACACCATTCCTGAAGTTGTCATGTGT